GCTCGGGAGTATAGGTCCCACCAGCCAATTGGAGCGCCCTCTAACGGACGTCAGTGTGAAAATAACGAACATGCACAATTTCAGTGGTACAGGAGTAGCGGATACTGGTACACAAGCCTAGAGTGCCCTCTAGCGGCTGTCAGTGTGAAAATGACAAACGTACATTTTCAGTGGTACAGGAGTAGCGGATACTGGTACACAAGCCTAGAGTGCCCTCTAGTGGCTGTCAGTGTGAAAATGTCAAACGTACATTTTCAGTGGTACAGGAGTAGAAGATACTGGTACACAGGCCTAGAGTGCCCTCTAGCGGCTGTAAGTGTGAAAATAACAAACATGTGAAATGATATATTTTGATATATAAGTCGCACCCAACTATAAGTCACAAACCCAGCCAAAGGATGAAAACGTATAGACTCATAGTCCGAAAAGTACCGTAAACATTGGCATTGGCCAAGACGTCATTTAAAACGGTATGTTGCAAACACAGCCAAAAGATGGGTAAAAAAGTTGCGACTTCTCGTCCGAGAAATACGGCAATTCATTTTTTTCAATTCATCACCAAATATTATTGTGCACATCATTTTTTGTAGGCACACGGTACTCAGTAAAATCGAAATCATGCTTTATAGTTTCTTGTAAAAGTTTAGGCAGGTGGTTGAAAATGCTGTAAATGAAGAAAACCTTTAACACATTAAAAGTAAAAATTTGTTTTTAGAGCAGGCGTGGGCAAACTACGGCCTGAGGGCAGGATGCGGGCCCTTTGGCCTTTGAATCTGCCCTGCCAAACTAGTCCAAATTGTGTTATTTTATATTATCATTATACTTTGGCCTTTTCCCTGCAATGCTCGCATTTCACCAATAGATGGCGTAGAAGAAGCTAAAAGCATTTTTAGCATGATTAGCCTTTATGCATGACTTTTACATGTCAAATATTGGGACCCACTGTGGCCCGCGGGTCAAAAAGCTTGCCTGAATAAGAGTACTGGGCTTGTTTTTGTTTTTTTTTCTTTGGATGGCTCGATAGAATTTTTCATTTTCAACTTCTAGTATCTGCCGATCCCACTATCAATCCGTTACCTTTTTTCCACCCCAGCATGCTGTGAAAATGCAGTTGCTGAGGTGATAATGTCCCTGTTTACGAGGTGCAGCAAAGTTAAGTTGAGCATTCAGGGTTAGGTATCACATCAGATAGGCTTTAGGTTTTTTTCGATGTTCATTTATGAGATTTTGACCAATTTCAGACCGATACTGATTCTGAGTACGCATCAGGCTGTTGCCAAGTTACCGCTGAGGTGCTCTTGGTGATGGGTTAAAAGCAGAGGTTTAGTTTCGTTGTATCCTCGTGGTACAATGACAATACAGCCTATAGAATAAAAAAATAAAAATGATTACACTACTTTATTCACAGCATGTGTTTATCTTTGCAAACGTTGGAATTAGAAAAAAAAAAAAAAACTTAGCGAAGGAAAGTGGTAAGAAAACACTACTAATTGTTCAAGTACTCTAAGTACAATTGACTACTGACGTTAATGGCCTGATAGAATCCACTGAGAGTAATATTCGATATGCTATGCTGCTATGTAGTAAAGTGCTCACTGTAATTATTTAAGTCTGAACTACTGTTTGTCTAACCAGACCTTGAAGACAATTCCAAAGTTAGATGTCAGCACAGAGTCGCAGGAAAAGAAAAACTCATTGACTGGTGCAAGATAACGTACATCAATCTCAGTATCTTGCACATGGTTCATAACTGGAAAATGATATTGTTTCTTTTTGTATTTTTTTTTTTTTTGTGTGTGTGAATTATGTGCTCTACATGTCGTAATTGGTAATGGTTTACTATACTGTGTATACGTCGGCTGTTTTTATTCTTTTGAATTGATTTCATCACTTCAATCGTGTTCATGTTTTGTAAAACGTGTACCTCAGTTTGCCTGTGTAATGTTTTGCTGTAACTTATTTTACATTTTCGTTTCTATTTAAATGACTTGAAATCACGTCTGTGTTTGGTTAAACAAATGCACGATGTCTGAAAAACAGAGCTAAATTACATTGTCATTACTGCACAAAGGTACTGCAAAATAAAAGGCAACACCCAGGTCCATGGTCCGTTTCCAACTCGAACACCTTTTCTTTCATAAGGATACGTAAAAAGCTACTATCCATTGCAGTCATTAACACATTTGCTTCTTATACATTGATGATGTCATGATGATCTGTGGTTTAAAAAAATACTCTGATGTCGGTTGATTTTAAATGTACAATGTTTCAGTGATTTTTTTTTTTTTTACATTGCCAGAACATTGATTTCCAACATTAATTTTTTTTACGTTGTCTTTCAATGCTATTAATGTTGTATTTATATTGATGTTGAAAAAATGATAGATTAATTATAGATGCATAAAATTGTGAAAACTGTGATATACAGTGATACAAATAATCACTGATCACTTGATGTTTATCAACAAACTTATTTATACCAAACCTCTGTGCCTTGTGCCATTAGAGATCGTCAGGTGGGCCTCTAGGTGGCAGCAGATGTGGGTGTAGGTGTAGGTGTGTCTTTCTTCAATTCCTGCATGTATACCAGTGTTGTGTTCAACTAAACAGATGCAGATCTTAGAGTGTGAGTAAATTTTAACAGATATCATTGTTTTTCACTACATAGACTTTTTGTGACATTTTTGATCATTGATGCAGTGACATTTTTCTATTCTAAAATATGTGCCTTGGCTCAAAACAGTTTGAGGAACACTCGTCAACACAGCCTTAAAAAAGGGGGTGACGGTGTGGTGACTTGGTGGTTAAGGAAGTGGACCTAGGCCTGGAAGGTTTCAGGTTCGAGTCCAACACCTGTCCAGGCGCTTAACTTCACTTTGGAGATCGGTCATATTTCAAAGGTCACATTTTGTTGTGTGTGCAGTGGTGTGCTGTGTCACAACGACAAATAATTCACTTTCACTTGGCTGAGCAAATTGCGGTTTTTAACAGCAAAATTGTTGCTAATTTAGTTGTTCACAGTCTGGTTATCTGATAAGGCCAATTTTTAATGGTGTGTGTAAGTCAGGTCACTAATTCTTTTCTTGTTGTATTCCTATTTTTGTTACTAGAGCTAAGTTGTGAAAAAGTATTTTTGGTGAATTTTGGAACTTTGGAAGTCAAAGCCCATGGCTATGAATCTAGAAGGCCACTTCCAAAGTCAAAGCCATTCATGGCTATGAATCTAGAAGGCCACTTCATTTTATGTGTTCTACCATAGCTTAACATTCATTTCATTGTCTTAAATTTTAAGAAATCTTTAAAAAATGTCTCTATCTTTTAGTCTTTTACTTGAAGCATGTTTACTGTGTGGCATACATGCAGTGGTCAAAAGGTGTTGCAAACATATGCATTGTGAGTAATTCACAATTCTGATGAATTCTAATTTTAATTGAAAACATTTGGACCACAAACATTATCTTTTTGTTTTATGTTAATATTTCTGAATAAAGTTTATTCTATTGAAGAAAAAGCTGTTGCAGTCTGCTCAAATTCAATATTTCTGGGTGAAGAGTTTCCAGCACTAGTCTATTAAATAAATGATAATCCTGTTTGGCCCAGAATTTAGACTATTTTAAATTATGCCCCCAGTATTGATTGAGTTTGACCTATTTCAACAAGGAAATGTATACATTACTTTCACTTTCAACAACAAAGTGGAAATAGAGGGAATTTATTTGAATGCTAATTTCGTAGTTGTTTTTCTTCAAAAACACGCAGCAGAGGTTAATTGTTTCTTGATAAATTCAAAAACAGTCCTGAGGACGCTGTGGCGTACACAGGATAACACTCGACAGACTTCCTTTACGTGTCACATCTTAATGCCCCGGCTTTTCCTGCGACCAACGAATCAACGTTCCGTTTGTCGTTTTTAAAGTATTACTAAGAAATGAATCAAATATGTTTACTTTAATTACTTTCATTAAACATATGACAATGATTATTTTGCAGTGTTTTAATCGAAGAAATTTGTGCTTAAATAAGTCGAGGAAATTCGTTTAAATTTATCTCTATGTGTAACAGGCTTGCTCGACAGAAATTACCATGTCCTACACAAACCCCCAGAAGACAAAAATATTTTTATATCTGGG